AGGGGCTCATAGGAGTAGGTGGCCCATGGAGTCTTAGTCCAGGTTCGTCTGAGAGTAGGCCCCGTGTGGTGATCTCACCTGTGCTAGAATGAGTGACTGGAATTAATATACGTAGCAGTTGGCAGAATCCCTGACCTGAGAAGTAAGGACAACTGCCAAATGTAAGTCACTTGAACTGCCTCCATCTAGAGAAATAGCTAACCCATAGCAATCCTGCATTCTTGTAGGGATTGCAGAGATCAGGGCCACCTTCAAAGACTTCAAGGATGCAAGTGGTTGTTCCACATTCCCATTCTATTACCCAGTGAAGAAAACTTGCATGAATCTTGGAGAATGAGAAAAAATGACTGAAAACCTAAACAAGTGTGACACCAATTACAAATGCTATTCCATATGTGATTCCATCGCTTGAGCAAATTAACATACCCCCTGGTACCTCCTCTGCATTTACTGATCAGGCAAATGCTTTTCTCTTGATATCTGCTACCAAAGTCCACAGGAAGCAAATTTATTTTCAGCTGACAAGCCCAGCAACACACCTTCATTGTCCTGTCTCAGAGGTAGATCAACTCTCCAGCTCTGTCACAGTTTAGTCTGTAGGAATCTAAGTTGTCTCTCCTTCCCATAAGCTGTTACACTGGTCCATTACACTGATGACCTTATGCTGGTTGGAAATAGTAAGAAGTAGCAACTATTCACAAGACATTTGTGCGTCAGAGGGCAGGAAATAAGTCTTACACAAAGCCAGGTGCCTTCTACCTCAGTGAAATTTCTAGGTGTGCAGATCTGTGGAGACTGTTGAGATACCCCTTCTATGTTAGCTTTCTGTAGCTGTGACCAAAATAACTTAAAGGGAGGAATGATTTATTGTGGTTCATAGATTCAGAGGTTTCAGTCTGTGGCCCACTGGCTCCATTTGGGTCTGAGGTAAGGCTGAGCACTGTGGTGGTGGGAACATGTGGAGCTACTCACTTCATGATGGACAAGAAACAGAGAGAGAGAGAGAGAGAGAGAGAGAGAGACTGGGTTAGGTCTTCAAGAGCATGCCTCTAGTGACATACTCCCACCAGTTAGGCCCCATCTCTTCAAGTTTCCAGCACCTCCCAAAATAGTGGGGGACATTTCATATTTAAGCTGTAGCACCTTCTAAGGATAAGTCATCGCATCTGTCCTCTTCTACAACCAAAACAGAAGCCCAACACTTTTAGGGCCTCTTTGGATTTTGAAGGCAACGTTTATTTGGTTGCATTACTCTGGCCTCTTTGCTCAGCAACTCAAAAACCTGCGAGCTTTGAGGGGGGCCCAGGCAAGAGAAGGGTTCGCAACAGGTTCAGGCTGCCGTCCCTTCTGCTCTGCCACTTGGGCTATCAGATCCAGCAGATCCAAAGTAGTGTGCAGTGTCCGTGTGGAGCCACTGGTAGGTCCCTATAGATGAACCACAATGCAAGACCCTTAGAATTTTGGAATATGCCATCCTCTGCAGACAACTACTCTCCTTTTTTTTGCAGTGCTGGGACTTGAACCCAAGGCCTTCACCTTGGCCTATTTTTGTGAACAGTTTTTCAAGTTAGGGTCTTGAGAACTATTTGCCTGAGCTGACTTCAAACCGTGACCATCCTGATCTCTGCCTCCTCAGTAGCTAGGATTACAGGCGTGAGCTACCAGCACCTGGCACTACTCTCATTTGGCTTGCTGTGGTCTTAAGAGATTGAATGCTTAATCATGTACCCCCTACTTACCTTGTGACCTGAGCTGCCCATCATGAATCTGACCCTCCAAGACCTAAAGTTGAGCTTGCACAGCAGCACTCTCTCATCAAATGGGAGAAGGATGTATGTGATTGGGCCTGAGCAAGCCACAGGGGAGTTGCATGAGAAAGGCATCTGAATGCTGATGGTCCTCACTCCTGCCCTGACCTCCTCTCTCCCAGCCCTTACCTATGGCTCCATAGAGTGTGCTAAGATCTGTTGACTAAGGAAGAGAAATCGTGGGCCTGGCTTACAGAAGTTTGGGGCAATATGCAGACATCACCTGAAAGCAGAGCTGCAACACCACACGCCTTTTTGGGGGACATCCTTGAAGGACGGTGGCGAAAGGAAATTGTTCCGGTGGACAGAATTTTGAGTAGTGCACCTGGTAATTCGTTTTGCTCAGAAGGAGAAATGGCTGAACGTGAGATTAAACACTGATTCTTGGGCTGTGGGTGAGGATTTGACTGGTTAGGAACCTGGAAGAAATGAGATAGGAGATTGGTGACAAGGTGGCTTGGGGAGCAGGTATGTGGGTAGATTTCTCTGAATGGGCAAAACAATGTGCAGATGTTTGTAAATACCAAGTGAATTGTCATCATAGGGTGACCTCAGCAGAGGAAGATTTTAAGAATGGAGTGAATACAATGCTCTTTCTGTAGATACCAGTCTGCCTCTTTCCCAGCCCCATGGGTTTGTGAACAGTGGCCATGGTGGCAAGGATGGGGGCCACACATGGGCTCAAGGCAGGGACCATGACAACTTGCTTCATTCTCATGTCCTTAGAGTCTAGCATAGTGTTGTCAGATAGGTGCCCAATAAACAGTTCAATGAGTAAATACACGAACTATGAGCTTAAAATGTAGTACCAAGGAAAGAAACCATGGGACAGCCCCTTGGTAAGTTTTACTTATTAATTGCCTAAAACTAGAGATGCTCATGAACATTTGTGATACTCAGTGTTTACAGTGAAGTGGCTTGGGAGATACACTAATATTTGTTCTTCCTAAGATGTCAGTTTTTCCTTTGTATTTTCCTATCAGTCAAAAGGGAAATGACTTTAAAACACCTGATTTCAAATTTCATAGGCAACATACACAAATGTGAAATGCACGTGGTGTGAGTGGGGGATTCCTCAGTCACTCCAAGACTTGCCCCTCCTTCAGTAAGATGTGTTCCAACTATACCCCCATCAGCAAAGCCCTCCCCTCACAATTGCTGTCATTTCCATCTCACCTTCCCTATGTCCTTTGCAATTTAACTAGGAAAACTATTTAGATGCTGGCATTAAATTTGTGCTTTCAACTTACTTTTTCAAGTCTACTGGCTTCTTTGAAAGATGCTTTTAAGGGCTTGGGGGTGTGTCTCAAGTGGTAAAGCACTTGCCTACTATATGCATGCAAGGCCTGAGTTCAATCCCCAATACAGCAAAAATAAATAAAAATTTTAAGAATGCTTTCAGATGACAGATGTGGCTTGGAACGTCTCACGAGTATAAAACATTTTAAAGACCTTTGAAAATTACAAAGCCTTCTAATAGCTCTATTATAATTTGGACACCTGAGGGTTGTTCTGCTTTGATAGGCTTAGAATTTTATTACTTAAATAAGAAGCCATCCCACTTTCATTCCATTTGTCAACTACATGTCTCATTAGAACTCTGGGGTTGTTCTAGGAATCTGTGGACAATGTTGAATTAAGACTGCAGCTGTAAAGTAAGATAAAGAAGTTCTATCTTAGGTTATGGATGAGGCTTAGTAAATAGAGCACTTGCCTAGCTCAAGCAAGGCCCTGGGTTCCATATCCAGCACTGCAAAAACAAAAACAAGGACATCCTTTTTCAGAGAAAGTGACTGAACATACTAGATGGCTGTGGAGGAAGGCTACCAAAGTTTTGCAGGATATGAGGTCCCCCTTAAGACTCAGTTAAATCTTTTACCAGCTTATCATTTGGGTTTCCTTACTTGACTGGGAATTCAAACACACAGTCATAGCTTTTAGAGTTTATACACACACATAATTGTTTAGCTTTGCAGAATATGGATTATTTCCACTGTTTTTTCCACTAATAAAAATACATGCTTGCTACAGAACAATTTAAATAATCAGTCCTACTTCACACACAAGTTTGGAGTATTTCCTTTCAGTCTTTAGAGCAAGCATGTATGTTTAATTTGTATTTACTATCTGTGTACTACACACGGTTTGTTTTGTTCCTTTCTGAGTTTATTTTTAAACCAGGGATTAGGTAGTTCAAATATGGCCTAGTGACTTCTGGCCTATCCTTCGCTGGTGATTTCTTACCCACCTTCCAAAGCCAAAGGTCTACTTTCAAAGCCTGGCCTAGTTTCCTGTGGACCTTGAACACACGTCTCATCCTATTTCCAGACACCTGAGATTTGTCAGTCCAAAGGTTGTTTTTGTCAACACTAGATAGCATGAAGAGCAAGGTACAATGGTCATCAGACTTGATAGAACAAAAACAAAACAGCAATCCATGGTGTCTGGTCTCTCCTAGAACTGCAAAGTAGTCAGGTAGTCTTTGTCTGCAATTCAGGTGTTCCAGTAACTGGCACTGTGACTTTCATCATATAATCTAACCACTTTAAGTCAAAGTAAGTGATCTTTTCTACTAAAACCTATGAATATGTGTCTGTTCATTTTCCTGAGTTCTTCCAGATGTCTTATTTTTCTAGATTTAAGAATTGGGTAAGTGCTAGAGTTCTATTGCACAGAAAAGTGAGAGTAGTTAATAATGTACACTTCAAAACATCTAGGAGAGGTTTTAAATATTCTTATAACGAAGATATCAACGGCCAGTCATGGTGGCCTACGCCTATAATCCCAGCACTTGGGAGGCTGAGGCCAGCCTGGGCTACATAGTGAGATTCTGCCTCAAACCAAAAGAAATGGTAAATATTTGAGGCACTGAGTAAGTTTATTAGCCCAATTTGATCATCTCACAATGATCAAAGAAAATGATATAACATGGTATTGTATCCATTATTGAATGTAAGCTAAAACTATGAAATAAAGAGTTGGGTTGCACACAGCCAATGGGCAGCTGACATAAAATTTGTGTATTTTTAACTAGAAAAGCCAGAAGGTCACCAGCATCTTTGTTTTCTGCCTAATGTACCATGGACATATTTCCCCAATACATCAAAAGCTGACACATCACAAACACAAGTTCCACCTTTATATACTGAACTAAATTTTATTTTTAAAAGGTAAAGAAAGTTTTATACATCCTTTTATAAAATGAAAATTCAAGTCTTTAAGCAGTGAGTTCTCAATATCAAAGCTGTTTATAACAGGAGTTAAAAGTAGTTGGTAACATTTTACCCTTGTAAAAATGTCACAGAATTCAAATTGTAACTTGGATCCTCAATGATTCAAGTGTCCTGGTGTGTCTTATACAATAAGGGTTGGTCAGTTTTAAGACAGAATTCCTCTGGACACCCAGTCCGTTCTGTAAGTCCTTTACTTCCACCTTCCAGCAGCTTGCAACTCATGGTGGGACTCACACGGTGGGATAGCTGGCTGCTGTGGCAAGTCCACAGTGGTTGTTCCTGTCCTTGGCTATTTTGACAAAACCTTCTGCACCCCACTCAGGACCCCAGCTGAAAGGTTTTTCCATTTTGTACCACAGGTTGAAAAAAGGAAATCAAGAAAATATTAGCTTCATTAATAATTAATACTTAAAAAAGTACTTACCATGTCAGACACTAGCATAAGTGCTATCACAGCTATATATAAAATATATAAATATTAATCCCTGCAGGTCTTTAACTTTTAAGAATGGAAACTGAGGCAGAACTAGGATTCTAATATAGCAGACTATCTCCATATCATATATTACATCTCTATGAAAGAAGAGTTGAGAATAAAATGCAAAGGCAGAACATCAAATGACAGGAGGAAGATGTCACACAGGCCACAATCTTTCAGACTTAATGAGGAATCAGCGGAGGCAAAATTAGACAGAAAAAGAAATGTTCCGAAACTGGAAGGTCCTACAACCTTTTACTTGAAATCCAACCAAAGGTTGTTTCAGAATTAAGAAACTTCAGAATTTAGAAATACAAGGTTATAAATAGACAGGAATAACCTCAACAAGCTTGGAATATAATCATTTTTGTGTGTGCTATTGGAGTTTGAACTCAGGGCCTCACGCTTGCTACTACTTGAGCCACTCCAACAGCCCTATTTTGTGTTGGTTTTTTCTTTAAGATAGGGTCTCACCAACTATTTACCAGAGGCTGGCTTCACTTTGAACCTTAATCCTCCTGATCGCTGCCTCCTGAGTAGTTAGGATTACAGGAGTGAGCTATGGGTGCCAGGTTTAAGCTTGGTATATAAATTTATAATAAAATACTAATACTTCATTCTAAATGGGAAAAAGATTTTTTGATTTAAAAATTGAACTTCTGTGGCCTTTATCCAAATGCTGATCCTAAATAAGGAGTCTTTTTCATTTAAAGTGTAATATTTAGAATTTTATACCTGTTCTTCACAAGCCAATATTTATTTTTGTCTGCATCTGTTCCTTCAAAACCATAGCCAATCACTAGGACACCGTGATCGAGGTCCTGGCTGCTACAATCTGGATCAAAATAAATGCCTGGAAGAGTAAAATCAGCATCGGAGTGAGATCCAATTAATGCATTATGGTGACTACTATCACCTGAATGAGTCTCAAAATTCAAAGAAATGTCATAAACAAATTCTACATACTGTGGAAGACCTTAAATATTTGCCAACAAATAGCAATGGTTGATTAAACCAACAAAATTCAAGAAGTCCAAGATAATTCCCCACTGTCCCACCTCCAACTCAGATCTACTTTCTTAAAGGCCAAGATGATTTAGACATTTATCTGTTAGCCAACATACCAATTAGCACAATTCTCTTCTAAATATAAAAAAATAGCACATACACATACAAACTTAAAATCTCATACCTGCCCCACAACAGGGTTCTTCCTCACAGCCCTAACTACTGCAACTGGAGAAGGGTTAAGTAAATTACATGGTATCTATAAACTAACAGTAGTTAATAATCATGAGGAAATGCTCAATTATGTCCAATGGAAACACCTCTATGTAAAATACACATTCAATATCGTAACAGTCTGGAAAGCAGGACTTCATAGCAGAGTCTGCCAGGCTGGGATTTTCCAGTTCTGCCTTACTTTCTGTAATAAGATAACACTTACCTGATTTGTAGAACTGGAAGGATGCATGACCTGCATCCATAGCAGCAGAAATGGGCCCCACAGTGGCCACTGCCTTCATAAGGGCCTTCTCCCGCTGTGGGATGTCCACGAACCCAGTGTCGTTAGCCACAGAACACTCAGGCCTGTACTTACAGGTTCCATCCTTTTAAAGTTAAAAAGGAAGAGACTTGATTACTACTACCACTTACTTCCTAGGGAACACTGAGTTCTAGAATCAGAACATTCAACAATTTGCTGCTTATGATTTTCAAGTCACCATTCCAGGAAGTGGAATGCCATTAGTTGATTTGAAACTTAAAGATCAGTTGAGTTGGGCACCAGTGGCTCGCACCTGTAATCCTAGTTACTCAGGAGCAGGAGGATCGAGGTTCAAAGCCAGCTGGAGCAAACAGTACTTGAGACCCTATCTCAAAAACAACCCATCACAAAAAAATGTTGGTTGAGTGGCTCAAGGTGAAGGCCCTGAGTTCAAACCCCTGTACTGGAAAAATAAATTAGTTGAGGGATGAAGTTGTGGCTCAAGTGCTAGAGTGGCAGAGCAAGTGCAAAGCCCTGAGTTCAAACCCCAGTATGGGGTTTGTGCTGCACAGAAGAACAATTACATGTTAACCAACTAATCAGAGAACTGTGCAAAGGCTAATAACTTATAATGACAGCACTAATAGTTTGGAGATAGTCACATCTAAAATGTGACTTCTAGGCTGGCAGGGTGGCGCAAGTGACAGAGCGCCTGCCTAGCAAGTGTGAGGCCCTGAGATCAAACCCCAGTGCTGTCAACACACACACACACACACACACACACACACAACACAACCTCCCCCCCAAAAATGTGACTTCTAAAAAAGATGACTGTTATCTCTGAAAGTGTTCCACAAAGCTGAAATGAGAGTAAAGTAAGAAGCTTCATTTTACCTTTGCTTCATAAGGATAGGATTCCTCGGAGTCCAGGCCTCTGTTTTCCTTAATGTACTGGAAGGCATAATCCATCAGACCACCATCGCAGCCCTGGTTGCCTTGAGGCTTAGAACAGTCCACTAGGTTCTGCTCACTAAGTGGGACCAGTTTGCCAGTTTTCTGGAACATCTGTCCTTCCAGGGCACCAGTTGCACTAAAAGCCCAACAAGAACCACACTGACCCTGAAAAGGAAATAAAAACTGATGGTTTACAAGACAAAAGATTGGCAACAGCTTATGTACTTTAATATTTTTTAAAAAACAGCAGGAGCATGGCGAGAGTCACTGAAGCACAATGTTAGAACAATGAACCGTGCATCACTCTACAATCTACCAAAGTGACTAGGCCAGTCCTTCTTGGCTTTCCCGTGGGAAGTGGAAGGTCTGAATGTTGACACTGCCATACCTGATTCTTCACAGGTGTCACGTAGCCTTTCTCTCTCCAATCCATAGACTTGGGGATGCTCCCCAACAGAGGTTCCTGAAACACTTTCCCCTTCTTGTGCTTCTGCCTTTGGAAGCCATTCATCACCTGCCTGAATTCTTCACTGGTCTTCAAGGAAACAGAATAAAAAGTTGAAAAGGCAAGAGATCATTATTTGTAAAGAACTGAGAAGAGGAAGCACGGTAGACAAGCAATGCACATCACACTCACCATGTCCCCAAAGGCATTCATTTCCATGGTGAAGCCATGTTTCCCTTGGTTGTGTTCCTCATTGTGGAGAGCAATCATTTTCATGTTCTTCTCCCATACTGCTCTCCTCCAGCCTTCCTCATTCTAGAAGCAAACGTACAACTGATAGTTTTTATTTGTACTTAAAATCCAACCCATAGCTGGGTGCTCACTCCTGTAATTCTAGCTACTCAGGAAGCAGAGATCAGAACAATCTCAGTTCAAAGCCAGCCCTGGGGCATATAGTTCACCAGACCCTATCTTGAAAAACACACATTACAAAAGGGCTGGTGGAATGGTTCAAGTGGTAGAGGGCCTGCCTAGCAAGGGTGAGGCCCTGAGTTTAAAACCCCAGTTCTGCCAAAAATACAAAAACAAAACAAAACAAAACAAAAAAACCAGCCCATGCTCACTAAGTGGATTTGTATGCAGAGATGCGAAACTGTGGCTAAGGTGTTTTCTACATTGAGGTCACAACTGGTCTGTCATTAGATTACTGCTTCGGTAGCTGGCTACTCCCCAGCCATAAACTCTCAAGAGCAAGGACCATAATCTCCAGGACAGTTTTGATGTTACCAACCGTGCCATAAAGTCTCTTGTGTGTTGACTTCCACCGGTACCACTGCGTATCTAAGTTTTGATCAAGTTTTGGAGTCGCCAAGGCTATTCCCAAGCAACAGGTTGCCAGGAAGAATGAAAGACTCATGGTTCAAAAACCTAGGAAGGGAAAAGAAACGAGTAAATCGGATGAAAGCAGTTTATATATATAAAGTTAAAAGTCTCCCATAATAGAGTAGAAACATTTTAATTACTTTCCCATGTATAAACATAAAAACTGAAAAGGCTAATGATCTGCGTGGAAGAAACAGAGGCCAGGGATTAATTTTAAAAAGTTATTTAATTCAGCTATTGAAAAGAAAGAGCTTGATAAGTGCTCTAAGAATTCAAATAAACTTCAAATTTCAATTCCTACAATGCAAAAATTTGGATTTTGGTAATCTCATCGTCCCTTATGGTATAGAATCAAGGCAACAACTAAGAAACAAGGAAATGGTTCGTGCAGTTTACTGCTTACTGGCAGTACTGAGGTACGTCCAGCAGAATCTCACTAAGAAGGACATCTAATCTGAAGGAGGGGGCCAGGAGATCCCCAACAATTCGGACATCATTTTCCTTAACGCACAGCAGAAGGTGAGACTTGCAGGACGGAAACCTCTGAGAACACCCTCCTCCCAGGAGCTCCGGGTCCGGACCGAGCCCTCCCCCCCGCCCCCCCCGTCGACTCAGCGCCCATGGCCGAACTGGGCCGGGCCGGACCGGGGTCCTTCAGCTCCCGCCCTCCATGCAGGCCAGCCACTGTCTGAAGATGTCATGGCGGCGCTGGGAGCGATGCGCACCGGGACCGGGGACCCGGCTTGCGGGGGTCCCGCTGCCCTGTCTGACTCAGCCAGGCCCGCAGACTCGTGCGGGCCCGCACAACCCGGGACCCCGGCCCCTGCTGCACTTTCTCTGCCCCCTCCCGCGATCCCAAATCGTCAAGGACGGCAGAGCTCGGTAGCTCTGCCACTTCCTCTACCACATCCCTGCGGGGGTCGGAACCGGTCCGGCCCGGTCCAGCGCGGTCCTCCAGATCCATCCCGGCACCCTCGGCGTTGCAGCCCCGCGGACGCTCACCCGGCGCGGCTGCAGCTGCGCAGGCGCACTCCGCACACGCAGCTCCGCCGAGGTCGTTCGAGGTCCGGGAATCTGGCCCAGTCGCGCCTGACTCAGGCTTTAAAGCCCCAGGTCCGCGGCCAGGCCGGCTCCGCCCCCGCCGCCGGCTCGCGCTGCCATTGGCTGTGCCGGTCCGGTGGGCGGAGCCGTGCGGGCTGTCTGACTCCCGGCGCGTGACGCCGCTGGCTTCCAACCTGTCCTAAGGCCTCCTGCCTCCGGAGGTTCTGGGAAAGGTCGTCCCCTCGGGGCAGAGTAGGGTAGGGACCCTTCCTAGGAGTGTGGGGTGGGGGGCCGGTATCAACGAAGGTGCACGACTGAAGGCCCTGGTAGGAGCCTCGTGCTCCATGCGTGTTTTCAGCCTAACCCCGCTTTTTCCTGTAGTCTTTGGGTCCCCGGGATTTGAACTCAGGGCCTTGAGGTGCTCCGCCGCTCGAGCTACTCCGCCATCCCTTTTTTTGTGTAGGATATTTTCCAGATAGGGTCTCCCGAACTATTTGTGGGGCTGGCCTGCAATCGTGATCCTGCTGATCTCTACCTCCTAAGTAGCTAGGATTTACAAGGGTGAGCCACTGTTGCTGGACAGTCCTAGAGTTTTTTGGTTAAATCTGTAGGGTGGAGAGCCTGTGTGCTGTCATCTAATGGTTGCTGTGAATTCCCAGCAAAGGTGGGGCTGGATGGAGGAATACAGAACCCGAGGACACAGTGTTATATCGCATTTCAGGATGGGCTTCGACCGAGTTTGAGAAAAATCTGGTAGGAAAAGCAGATGGTGCCAAGGTCAAGGTCCAGGCCCTACAACGGAAGGGGACTGATGGGGGAAAAGGGGCCTCCAAGACCGTGTTTTCTAATGCATCCTGTCCTGGCTTCTGTGTTCAGGGGTTCTGTCCCCATAAGCCTTTCTCAAACCCACTAGAAATTATTTACAGAAAAAAAAATGGCTTAATAAAAAGGAACAAATTGGTTGGGAAGGATGAAGGGATGGAAGCTGCTACGTGTTCCTCACTCTGCCAATGTTTCTCTTGGAATTTTGGAAATTCACTTTAGTAATATGGGGGTTGGTGTTGAGCAATTTAGGGAAATGATTTAGCTGGAGAAAAAGTATATAGGTAAAGGTGTAAGGAAATCAAAGAAATGATTCTAAGTTTTTAATCACATAAGAAGCATGTTCATTACAGAAAATACATTGCAGAAAACAAACGTTGCTTGTCCCTTCCCCCACCACTTTTCTAGGCTTTTTTTTCCCCTACAAAAATGGAGTTATAGTTGTCAACTGTTACTGAAAAATTAAATGGATTGAGATAGATATAATTTTATCAATTTAAAAAACTAGCAAAAGAAATTGATAGCCTTTCTAAAAGCACAGACAAATAATTGTTCTTTAGAGAATCTCCTTATGTGGCCCAGGCTAGCCTCAACTTCCTGATCCTCCTGCCTCAGCCTCCAGAGTGTTGGGATTACAAGTATGAATCACCATAAATAAATTAATACACAAATTATTATTTATGTCTTTTAAAGTAGTAGAAGCCCTTCTCCCTCAAATGCAACTGTGGTGGGAAGCTCTCGGTGGTGACAAAAATATACTATAAGTAGCTTGAGTTTTAATTTTTTTTCTAACTTAATCATGGTGTTCGAAACAATTATTATTCATAGGTGGGAATAAGCAGAGACAGGCTAGATTTTTAGGCTATTGTTCAGAACTTGCTATAACAAGGGAGACAGCCCAAAGACAGAGGAGAGGAAAAGCAAATTTGGTGTCCTCTGGTTTGCCCAGGGTGGGAAGCAAAGGCAAAAAATAAAGAAGTTGCAGGGTGCCAGTGGCTCATGCCTGTAATCCTTGCTACTCAGAGGCAGAGATCAGGAAGATTGAGGTTTGAAGCCAGCTTAGGTAAATAGTTTGTGAGACCCTATCTTGAAAAAAACCTTCACAAAAAAGGACTGGTGGCATGGTTCAAGATGTTAGGCCCTAAGTTGAAGTCCCAGTACAGGGTGGGGGTGTGTGGGGAGGATGAGGGTGGGGGTGGGGAATAGATAAATAAGGAAGTTGTCAGCCATTGAGTAAGTCCTGAGTGCTCTGAGCTGTGGGATTAAGTTGCTGTTCTTCTGTGGGTCAGAGTTGTATTGCTGTATAGTCTGTCCATTGTGTATTTGTTTACTCTATCACAAGCAATCTAAGTTATTCTAACACGTGGGTTTATAGCTGCCCTTGGGCCACAGCTCCTGAAGATTGCACAGGGTGGAAAAACCTGCCAGTGCATTAAGATGTGCGCCTTGAGTAACAGCCTGGCAGCAGTCCCAGCAGCAGAGGTGCTCCAAAGAATGGTATCCTCTCTATTTCTTGGAATTCGAAATGCATTGGCGAAAACACAGCCCTTCTATGTCCCCCAGATCTGAAGTTACACCAAGAGATACCTAAATGCAGGAGACATATGGGAAACGGCCACTGAACAAGAGATGGACGGCACCTTTATTCCAACTCATAGTGTCTCTTTATGTCTATTTACACACAGTTTGCTAAAAACACATTACAGAAATGTAGTATTATGGCCAGGCACCGGTGGTTGATGCCTGTAATCCTCGATACTCAGGAGGCAGAGATCAGGAGGATCGTGGTTCAAAGCCAGCCCAGGCAAATAGTTTGTGAGACCCTATCTTGAAAAACCCTTCAAAAAATAGGGCTGGTGGAGTGGCTCAAGAGGTAGGCCCTGAGTAAGTCCCAGTACTGGGGGAAAAAAAAAAAAAAAGAAATGTAGTATTACTAGTCGTGTTATTTCTCTTCCTATTTTTCAATCTCTACTTCTTTGCAAAATTATGTTGATGAGGGCTAATTATTCATAAAGTCACATTTGAGTCAAGTGACCAAACCTGGCCTCTGGCCTCCACTCTTGATAAAATGCCGTTGGCAGAACTTCCTGATTCCAATTTAAACTTCAGTGTCTGTGATAAAATATTCTGGTGCACATCATAGAGACTTCTTTTGCTCACTAGTAAAACAGGATATAATTCTTTACCCAGTCTGGAAGTTTTAAATGGTAGAGGAACTGGCAAATTTAGTGGGTTATTTAAGACCTAATACCTGTCTCCAATGTCACAACCCTTCCAATTTTTGAAAATTCACTGAGCCAACTCTTTAAAATGCTATCCAGCAAACTGTCCATTTGCAAAGTGATTTATTACCATCGACAATCATATTGGAAAATAATTATAATGGAAATCTCACCAATTGTAATGTAAAACAGCTTATAATTTGTGTGTGTGTTTGTGTGGTGGTACTGGGAATTGAACCCAAGGCCTCACACTTGCTCTCTCACTTAAGCCATGCCCCAGCCCTTTTGTTTTTTGAGATAGGGTCTTGTTAACTTTTCCCAGGCTGCCCTCAGACTGTCTGTCCTTCTGAGTAGCTGGGATTACAGGCATGTGGCATCATGCCTGGTCAGCCTGTCTTGATCTGTTGGTCACATGAAACCAATTATCGAATAGCTTACTGTTCTGAGTTATTTAACTTTGTAGGGTTAAATCACCAGCCAATTTCTCAAGTAAGTAATTGAAATAAGAATTACTGAAGCTGGGTGCTGGTGGCCCATGCCTATAATCCTAGCTACTTTGGGGGCAGAGATCAGGAGAATTGAGGTTTGAAGCCAGCCCACGGAAATAGTTCGAGAGACCCTATCTTGAAAAACCCTTCACAGAAATAGGGCTGATGGAGTGGCTCAAGGTGAAGGCCCTGTGTTCAAGCCCCAGAACTGCAAAAAAAATTAAATAAATAAATTACTGAAGCTCTTCCTTTGTGTTCACTGTCCTCTTCTTGTATAGTGTCAACATTTACTTACACATTCTACACCAGCCTTTCCTAACCTCTTTTCTGAAGCTCAATCTTTCCATGTTAAAATGAGATAACTATAATAAACTTGATTTTCAGCAAATGGACAGGGAACACGTCTGATGCATTTCAGTGAAATTACAAAGGGAACTGACTGTGAAATTTCTCCCTTCGTCTCAGACTGTAATCCACAAACTCTCAGCTGGATGCCAGATGATATCCTCCTCCAATCTGAAAAAACAGTCTTTTTAAGGAACAAAGCCTATCAGTCTCCTACGGCTATTGCACCAAAGTCCTACAAACTTGGTGCACATAGAGCTCACTTGTGTAAACCAGGATAATCTCTGCATCTGAAGATCTTTAACTTAATCACAGCCACAGTCTCTTCTGTATGAGATAACAGTCATAAGTCCACGAATTCAGATCTGATCTCTTTGGGGGCCATATTCATCCTGTTACCCATGGTGTAAGTAAAAGTCAGCTTCTTAACAAGTCTGATGGAAACTGTCAAAAACTGAGGCCACCCTGACTGGGACAGGTAGGCCCTAAACTCTGCGGGAATGTCCCATGTGTCATTTCTTCGTTCCATCTCAGGCCCAGATCTGTGCCTTTTGTGCTTGACCACAGACAACATTCTCTGCCTCAACTTCCCCTAGCAATTTTTGCCCCAGATTTTTAGGTTTTCCCACACCCACACAGCAGGTTTTGTTGTTGTTTTGTTTTGTTTTTTACTAACCCTGT